CAGTAGCTAAATTCATACATCTTGCCAGGCTATGCCCTTGTTTTTGGATCATGGCTGCAGGAAGTCTCCCATAATTTAATACAATGTTTCCCAACCATAACAACTTCCAGTTATGTGAGCTTCAATTCCCATAATTCAGCATGCTGGATTGGAATTCTGGAAGTTGAGATCCACACATCTGGATGTTGCCCTGGTTGGGAAACACTGATTTAATATATGGTAAGACTTACATTTTTTATTGTAAGATGTATTATAAAACTTACATTTTTATGGTAAGATTTACATCAGACTTTTATTACTGTAATCCATCTGGAATTGAAGAAATGTTGGTAAGAAATAAGTGAATGAATAAGCAATTTGTTTTGCTAGTGATACGGGATATTGTAGTGTCACAAAATATATCATGAAGGTAGATTCTTGTCTGTTAACAAAATAGGTCCTATACACAGTATAGCAAAGCCTCTGAACTATCCTCTCAAGTCCCATGATACTGTCTAAGCTACTACTTTATCATTGTCCTTTTTCTGGGCAAGTGGACATATTTCCAAATATATTCACTACTGGCTGGATAAATATATTTATCAATATTTATATTTGCTAGGAAGTCATATGGTCCCTTGTGGAGTTGAAAGGTATTCTGGTTTGTTTTTGCAGTGTGCGGAAATCTCATTTATCTTTTTTTCAGTTGAAAGTATATAATCAAATTAAGTCAGGTCAATAAGAGCTACTGTGATGAATATTGCAGGTATCTGACAGATAAAGTCACTCAGATGTGTTGTGAGTTGGATTCTGACTGAACAGGTCCTACTATGTTGGCTGGAGTACCCTGTTATCTGGGAGGAATTTCAACCTGTGGATTTTGAGGAAATGGATAGGGTTCTCAATATGACCATCTGTATATCAGATCCATGTTCCTCCTAGCTGGCTAAAGTTGCCTGGGAAATGATGTATGTGTCAGCCTAGGGAGGTAGTCTAGACAAGAAGCATGCCCAGATGAACTAATTCTACTTTATTATAAGGTTACATTAACAGAATCTTGCAAGTCTGAAAGTACACTTCTTCCCCACCACCTTACAGAAAAGAAACTAGGCAGGGTCCTTTCTGAAATGTTTGCCATGCCCACATCCTGCTACAGGCTAAGATGCCACTTATCTGATCATTCCCCTGGCTGTGGCTCATCCCCCTGTCTCCCAAGGTCATCCCCGCATACCATTACAGTGTGGTTGGTCCAAGCAGTGGTGAATTCATCCTTGAGTGATGGGGTGGTTTCACCTGTCTTGAAAGAAGCAGTGGTATGCTCCCTTCTCAAGAAGTCATCACCAAACTCAGTAGGATAATTTCCTGCTAGTCTCCAAACTTCCTTTTTAGAGGAAGATTGTAGAGAAGGAGTTGGGGCTGCAGCTTTTTCCTAGAGGTAGCAGATTATCTGGACCTTTTTCGGTTGGGTGTCAGGCCTATATAAAGTACTGAGATGGCACAGATTGTACTTGTGGACAGCCTCTGGCAGAACTGGGATAGGGTTGGTTAAGCTCTCCTGGTCCTTCTGAATCACATTTTTCAGGCATTGGGATTAGGGAGCACTGCATTGCAGTGATTTTTCTCCTTTCTCTAAGGTTGGTTCCAGCTACTACTGGGGGAGAGGAAGAGATTGAGCCTGAGATCCCTTCTGTACAGGGCTCCTCAGAACTTGATGTTCTCCATGCTTCTACATAACATCTACCTGTGTGATGCATGCTGGCATGGCATCAGGTTTTATCAATATGTAGATACTACTTTATTATATATCTCAACTCCTGGCCAGCCACATGATGCTGCTGAAGTTCTGTCTTGGTGTCTGATGCTTTTACAGTATGGCTGGGAAAGAAATGGCTCATGCTTAACCCTAGTAAAACTGAATGGCTGTAGATTCACACTTAACCCTAGTAAAACTGAGTGGCTGAAGATTCACATTTAACCCTAGTAAAACTGAGTGGCTGTAGATTCACACTTAACCCTGGTAAAACTGAGTAGCTGTAGATCTATGGTGCTCCATTTCTGAGACCTACCAACTTTAGTTTTTGATGGAGTTGTACTTTTCCATACAGAACTGGGACATAATTTGTGTGTGGGGGGGTCTTCCCTTTTTTTTTTTCCAAGGAGCAGTAGCAACTGTGGAAAGAAATATCTTTGCACAGATCCATTTTGTGCACCAAGTATATCTTTTCCTGAATTGGTGTGGGGGGTGGGGAGCTTAGTCACCTTGTAGTTGGACTATTGTAACATACTCCACATAGTGCCGTCTTTGAAGAACATTGAAATTTAAGTTGTTCATGAGTGGTTATTGGTGCATTTGTTTCACCTGGGTCAAACCTCTGCTGTGTGAACTGTATTGGTTGCTAGTTAGCCTTTGGGTGAAGTTCAAGATATTTGTCATCAACTATAAAGTCCTTTATGGCTCAGGACCTGGTTAAGTGTGGGACCACCTTTTTCCAGTTACATCTGGTCATCCGATTAGTTCTAGTAGAACAGGCATGCTGTAAGTCCCAACTGTTAAAATTATATTGGTGGTTGTGGATCCTTCAAGATGTATGTTTTCTATGGCTGCCCGTGCCCTGTGGGATAGACTGCCCCCTCCCCATTGCAGTCTACATGGCCTGTTATCATTTAATAAGTATCTCTCTCAGTAGGCCCTGGGGAGCACAATTTGTGACCCTGCACTGATATTGGGATTTATTCCTTGGTTCTTGGTTTCTTATATTTTTTATAAAATATTCTACCTTTATTATGCACAACCCAAGGCAGCATACATAATGTCTGTTCCTCCTATTTTTCTCACAACAATACTGTGAGATGGATTGGGCTGAGAGAGAATGACTAGCCCAGAGTTACTGAGCCAGCTTTCATGCCTAAGGAATGACTAGAATTCACAGTCTTCCAATGTCTAATCCACCACCTTAACTACCACACTAAACTGACTCTCAGATATTGTTGTTGTTTAGTCGTTAAGTCGTGTCCGACTCTTCGTGACCCCATGAACCATATTGCGCCAGGCCTTCCTGTCCTTCACTGCCTCCCTGAGTTTGCTCAGTTTCATGCTCATTGCTTCAGTGATGCTATCTAACCATCTCATCCTCTGCCGTCCTCTTCTCCTTTTGCCTTCAATCTTTCCCAGCATCAGGGTCTTCTTCAAAGAGATCTCTCTTTGCAATCTATAAGATGCCCCCATGTATAAGATGACCCCCACTTTTCCAACCCAAAATTAAGAAATCAATATTTTAAAGATAGTGGAGAA